TCTTAATTTAAGTAAATTTATAAGATAAAATAGCAAATTATGACAGCAAATTGGTTGCAGACAATCACTTAAGAATATCAAGCTTTTTATACCCTTTCCATAAACTTTTTTTTTGTTCCTTTTTTGTTCAACAATACAATTCTTCACCTTAATTCAGTAACTGGTTAACTGCTATTAAACTTTAGGAGTTAACCCATTACTGCACTAAGGAGATGACATATAAACATTTCATTCACTCAATTATTCCTGAAGACACATTATTTTCTTTTAAAATTCTAATTCTGTCTAATAACATATACTAAATAATTCATTCAAAACCTAAAGGCTAAATGCAACAGAAAGAAAATGAAAATCAATCCATGGCAAAAAATAATGATAAAAATATGAAACTTTTTGCAAATTGTACAAAATATAATGAGATGACATTATGCTTTGATAAAAATTCAAATTTATCACAGGGCACATTGCTTATATACACTAAACTAAATCATAAACATAATAATCTAATTCATTATATCATATTAACAGGGGAAATAACCATGTACTCTCAAGTGATGAAATTAACCCTGACCCAAAATGAAAATTGGGGTAATGGGTTTGGGCCCCGTTTTTCCCAAATTTTGGAAAAAGTCCCCTTTAAAAAATTAAAGGGGTTTTAAAAAAAATTTTAGTTTTTCCAAAAAAGTATAAAAGCCCGGTCCCGAAATAAAAGGTTTTAGCAGGGTGGCCCTTTGGGATTGGGTTAGATGGTACAGGGTAATACATTTGGTTTTCCCGCGAAGGTTCAGGGTTTTAAAACAATTACACCTTAAATGCAAATAATATTTTTAACTCCTTTTTAAAAAATTTTAAGGAATTTTTAAATTTTTTGGGACAAAAGGGGACAAATTATATTTTATTCTTTTTTTTTGTCTTTTTTAAAAACTAAAAAAATTCTTAATTTGAAATTTAACATAATTTTAGGGTTTTTAAACACAAAACTTTTCAAAAATTTAAATTTACCCAAACTTCCCTTTCATTCTACACTATATTGTAATGGACTATTCCACATTGCTTATTTTACAGAGATTTCAAAAAGAAAGAGTTGCTATTATAAGTGGGTTTAGATATAAAAAATGTTGCTATTATAAAGGGGTTCTTGAATAAACAGATGCTAAAAATGGGAGGGGGGGGGGGGGGGGGGGGGGGGTTCAATACAAAAAGTTGGTCTTAAAAGGGGGCTTCTATAAACAAGGTTGGTAATTATAAAGAGGTTTCTATATAATAAAGCTGCTATTATAAGGGAGTTTCGAAATAAAAAGTAACTATTATAAGGGGTTTTCGATATATAAATTTGCTTTTATAAGGGGTTTCAAAATAAAAAGTCTAAAATTTCAAAGTTAATAGTATACAGTCTGGTCAAGCTTTACAGGTTGGCCTGGATTTATACTTGTGATATAGGGTTGTAGTGATAGCTGGAAGCTAGAGTTTAAATGAATAAGAAATGACAGTGTTACAATAAGACCTCTCTACTGACTACATTCTGTATGTATTTAATAAATGACAATAATGATTTCTAGTTAGAGTCATAATGAATGCTTTCATTAAAATTATATTTTTCTATTTAACTGAATATATTCCAAACTTATATTGGGGTAAAATATTTCATATCCTGAAAAAAAAACTGAATATTTTTAACAGTTTCATTGATATCTAAGATAAAATCTGTACAAATCAAAAAAAAAATTGTTTTAATGTCAGTATTACTTATGCTACTCCTTTCAATGAAAAGGACAATAAAATTGCATCAGAATCAATTTTTTCCCCGAAATAATAATTTACGAAATTAGTAAAAATTAATTCCTATAACAATTATATCTAAAAAAAAGGAAATATAATAAAAAAAACATTAAAAAAAATAATTTGGGGTTAAAAATTTAAAATTTTGTTATATTTAGTTCAAAGCTTCTCCCAATTTAAAACAACACAAAAAAAATTGTTATAATTTAAAACGAAAAAAAAAGGCCCTTTTAAAAGAAAAAAAAAAACATTTATTTATTTTATCCTTTCAAAGGGAAATAAAACATATTTAAATTTATTTTTTCTTAAAAAGGGACAAAATCAAAAATTTTCTTTTTTTTAAAATCACAAAATTTTTATTTTGGGGGTAAATGGGGAAATTAAAAGCAAATTTAAAATAAAATTTTTTGGAGATTATAAAAGAACTAAAAATGCCTTTTTAAAAAGGTTTTAACAGTAAAACCCTGGGGAAAATTTTTTTCCCGTATGCTGAAGTAGCCATGGTTTTTATATGATGGGAAATATCAAACAGATTTAGTGGTAATGTAAAACCAATCATGTCAGGTTACAAAAATCATGGTTCAATTAGGGATAATCTATGGTTCTGTGAATAAAATCATGGTTACTTGGAGAAAATATCATGGTTAAATGGAGAGAAAAACATTATTCTGTGGGGGAAAAAAATCGTGGTTAACTGTGAAAATTTGTGGTTCATGATAATACAATAGTTAGTGGTAACAAATCAATGTTTCAATTAAATACAATAAACTTAAAGCACCATTTTTTACATTATACCTGCAGGTCAACACTAGAACAAAAATTAAATATACTGGTACACTCATATAAAATAGACAAGAGAACACAAATGCACACAAAAAACTGCCCTATATGAAAATGTGATTACAAAAGAAATTTTAATATACACTTATTCATTTTGTTTTTTTTTATCCCTAGGTTTCACAAGTTCATGTTTCTTATGTTTTTTATTCCCCTTTTACTTGTGTGGAAATACTTTTTTTTTGAATATAATTGAGTTTACCCTCAATTTTTTCTGTTAGCCTCAAATGCAAAGTTTTCCTAAAATCTAAAACATTGTAAAGAAGAATAAGCCTATGGGTAAGAACTTATAACATGGTCACTGTTTGGTAAGAAATAAGAAAATTAAAAGGTTGTTCATTATAAGCCTAAAAAGTGATTACCACATTGCAAGGGGTGCAAAATAAATTCACATTTAAACTAAAATGAAAACAAAATATTTGTAATTTAAATAATTATATGTTATTCCAATAATGTGAAATAAATTTTGAATTCAAAACTTAACAAAAAGATATAATCAAAGATCACTAGGAAGTTTAAAAGGACCCAAATTAATTGTAAATCTACACAAAATTACCAAACTGAAAATATCAGAACATTTTCTACAAGAAATCTAATGTGGAGGACATAAATTCAGATGATAATCTAATAAATACCAATAACAAAAGTCTGAGTAATAAGTAAATAATATAATCTAAGAAAACTTCCAAAAAACTAAGACATACAAATGTGTAGGCATAAAAATAAAATATTTTTCTCTACACTAAGTAGTACATGACATTCAGTCAAATTCTACTAACAAAATACAATATTTTTCTTCAATTTCAATATTTAAGTTTGAAAATAAACATTGTTAGAAAAACATTTTTGGCAAAATATCAAAATAATATTGAGGGGATAAAAATCAGATCTAAACTGGAATAAAAACAATTGTACCATTTCTTCCTTGAAATTTTAGATTATAGTTTATCTATTGTGACAAACTGGTAACTTTCATAAATATACGAACTGGCCTTGAGGTTATGAAACTTTTTCTCAAAATTTAGGATTTTCATTGGTCAGTGCACATTTTTTGCTGGTTTCTAACCAATCAAATACCTGTGATTTGAGTTTGAAGCTTGGATTACTTTCTTTATAACCTTGGACCTAAGTATACATTTATTCAATTCAAGGCATACTAACATCATAGTTTTAATTTCCCTTAAAGCGACCTTCAGTTTTTTATTTTCTGTTGAAAAAAAAATCAATTCTATGTTTTTTTTTTTTCAAATTAAGTATTTCAGTATTTCTTTCAGTAGTTAACTTGAAAATGTGCACCAATACACTGTTAAGTCTTCTTCAAAACAATGTTCTGAGAGCTATAACACATTAGTGACATTTGTTTCTAAAAAATAGCAGATCAGGAAATGAAATCATCCACTTTACTAATTTTTAAATATAGAGAGCGGACCAAAAGAAGTATTGAGGGGGGTTTTCTGATTGTTTATGTATTTTTAATTGTAGGCAAATTTCATTTTCCACCGTAAATTCTTTTGATTCGACAATATGAAACAATTTCTCTAAAAAATAGCCAAAATATTTTTAACCTTAAGAAAAAAGTTGAAAGGCCACTTTAAAGATACAGTCCAACCATTTCCTTTCGCCGACATAAATTCCCATTATAGCCATAATATAGGCGTGTAAACTAATAAGCAGCAAAGGGAAGGGACTTTAAAACAGGGCACAACAACTTAAATAACTATGAAATCAAATAAGAAACTTAAATAATATTATCTGATAAACAAACTCCTAAAATGGCTTTTTGTTGGATTGAGAAAATGAGACAAGCCTCGCTTATAAATTGGTGCATAACAAAAAAACATTCAAGCTTCCCGATTCTGTAAAATTTTCTCTTCATTTTTTTTTTCCTCGTAATACTTCTTTTTTCTCAAAAGCAAATCAAAGATTTTTAAATCAGAAGAGTTCAATGTATAACAATAACCTGTTTTTTCCCTATCTTAAAACTAAAATAAAACAAAAAAAAATTAAAATAAACAATAACAACAACAATAATAATATATAACAAACACAAATATGGTAATTTATATAATATCATAGGGTCAAATTTTTATCCTTTATATTTTTTTTTGGTAGTCAACACTTGTTTTTAGAATTTCTGAAACAAAATTCATCTATGAAAAAAAAATATATGCAGTATATATGCGAAAAGACTTACTCGAAACACTTTACACAAAGAGGGCAACTTCATTGTCATGAATTACCTTGCCACCATAAACTTCAGAATCCTATAATAAAATTCCAAATTATCCCACAAAGGCTATGGTTAATTTTGTGGGCCAAAGACTTGAAACCTAGAACCCCTTTACAACAATGGCATCCCCTTTTTTAAACTTAATGAACAAAAAGGGTGTACTCTCATGACATTAGTGTCAGCACAGCATCAAAGGTAAAGTAACGTCTTAATACGGCACCTTGTTTTTTTTTTTCATGACAATGCTCAAGTAATATTTCTTTCTTCAAAGATATCACAAATTAATTAGTTAAATAAAAATCTGTTTTTTTTTCCTAAACCTTCTACAAACATTACTCTATTCCTTCCATAAAACTTGTGTCCAAATTTTGTATCAGAGTTCTTATAAATCCCATTTCTTTTCGCGTATTTTCAAAAATGATTCTAGGGTCCTGAGACTCGCACCGCAGGCAGTTTGGTGCCATCACCATAGCTAAATTGTTGACATCCATCTTGGTCACTACTGCATTTTCTGGTGCTGCAAACACCTGGAAATACAAGATTGCATTTGAGAAAATGCTATGCCACCGCATTAATACAACACTAAATAGAAGTGTAGGAACAAATTACTGTTAAGAACGGGTCTTTTATTAACATCGTATATTATTGTCTGGATGAGCCGGTACCAATGCAAAAACCAACGTATTACTATAAACTGCTAGCATTCCCTTGCAGAAAGATAAGCAGACGACAGCCTAAAATTTCATGACTACATCAAAGGACAACACAGTAAGACACTTGTCAAAATCTAGGTCAGCTGATATCAAAGTTCACTTTACATCTTAATCTGTGCACATGGTTCAAATTCATAGCTGTACATCAAAGGACAAGAAAGTAGGTCACATAATCAAAATCTAGGTCACTTGATATAAAAGTTCAATTTTACAACTAAAACTGTGCACATGGTCAAAATTTCATTGCTGTACATCAAAGGACAAGAAAGTAGGTCACTGTTCCCCCTGTGGGCAAGGCAAAAATTTTGACCCAAGGATTTAATTCAAAACAATCTTGATACAGGTCCACTAAAACAACATTTCAAGTCAAATATCTAAGCTGTAGCTTTCTCCCATTCAGAAAACATTTGTTTTATTTTTCTGTTTTTATTATGTGTTCTTAATGAAAATCACTGCCCCCAGGCAGGGCCGATTTTGACACCAGGGGAAAAATTTTGAAACAACTTTGGTAGAGGACCTACAGATGATATTATATAGCAAACATCAAAGCTCTATGCCTTGTACCTTCAGACAAAAAATAGCTTTTATTTCATTTTTTTTTTACTATATGTACATTATGAAAATCAAGGGAACCCGGGGCGGACCCAATTTTGACCCCAGGGCTATAATTTGAACAATCTTAGTAGAGGTTCACTTCCCAAAGTCTCATGCCATAAATTTAACCTCTAGCCTTTGTCAATTCAGAGAAGAAGGTTTTTTCAAGTTTTTTACTTTTATACATATTAAGGAAAACTATCGCCTCTAGGCAGGGCAATTTTTTCACTAGGGCATAATTAAAACAACTTTAGTAGAGGACCCATAGATGATATTATATACCAAATATCAAAGCTCTAAGCCTTGTACCTTCAGACAAGAAGATTTTTTTAATTTTTTTACTATATGTACATAGTAAAAATCAACGGACCCCCTGGGGTGGGGGCCAATTTTTGACCCCATGGGGCTATAATTTGAACAATCTTGCTAGAGGTTCACTACACAATGTTCATGCAAAATATCTAACCTCTAGCATTGTCAATTGCTTGAAGAAATTTTTTAAAGTTTTTACTATAAGTTTTTTACAATATACATATAAAGAAAACCAATGACCCCAGGGGCGGGCCGATTTTTGACCCCAAAGCTATAATTTTTGAAAAATCTTGCTAGAGGTTCACTACACAATGCCTTATGCAAAATATCTAAGCTCTAGGCCTTTTGGGTCTTTACAAGAAGGTATTTTAGGCTTTTTTACTATATGTACATATAGTGAAATTCAATGACCCCCAGGGTGGGGCCGATTTTGACCCTAGGGCTATAATTTGAACACTCTTGGTAAGGTCTACAAGACAATGCCTTATGCAAAATATCTAAGCTCTGGGCCTTTTGGGTCTTTACAAGAAGCGTATTTTAAGTTTTTACTATATGTACATATAGTGAAAATCAATGACCCCCAGGGTGGGGCCGATTTTGACCCCAGGGCTATAATTTGAACAATCTTGGTAGAGGTCTACCAGACAAAGCTTTATGCAAAATATCTAAGCTCTAGGCTTTCTGGGTCTTTACAAGAAGATTTTTTAAATTTATTCTTATAATTCCTTTTGGTTGCCATGGCAACCAGATTTCTGCATGGAATGAAATTCTTTGAACAACTTTGGAAGCCCTTCACCTAAGGATCAATCATGCCAAGTTTGGTTGAAATTGGACAAGTGGTTTTTCACAAGAAGATTTTTTAAGTTCACTATATAATCTATATAACACACACACACACAAACAAACACACACACACACACACACACAGGTGAATCGCTATATGCCACCGCATCGCAGATGCTGCGGTGGCATAAAAATATAAGATCATAATCTGCAATTTTTCTATTTTGAAGTTTAACATTTGGATCATATCTAGTTATATGATATCCATGTGGGTTTTTTTTATCAGTTGTTTTACTGGCACTACCTAGTTTAAACCCTTGTTTTGTTGGCTTTTAAATCACCAAATCACAGTAAACGTCAAGCTGTCATGTTGGAGAATTTAAAAAACAAGAGGGCCATGATGGCCCAAAGTCGCTCACCTGAATATAGGCCCCTGGAGCGGGGCCAGTTTAAACCCCAGGGCTTTATTTTGAACAAACTTGGTTGTATATGTATGCATATATATATATATATATATATATATATATATATATATATATATATATATATATATATATATATATATATATATATATATATATGATATATATATATATATGTATGTATATGTATATATATATATATATATATATATATATATATATATATATATATACACACACACAATATGTATATATATATATATATATATCTATATATATATAAACATTATATATATATATATAATATATTATATATATATATATATATATATATATATATATATATATATATATATATATATATATATATATATATATATATATATATATATATTAAATATATATGTATATATATAATATGTATATATCTAAAAAAAAAAAGTCAAGCTAATGAATGACCCCCGGGCGGGGCCAATTTTGACCCCAGGGCTTTTATTTGAACAAACTTGGTAGACACCCATGAGAACATGTTTCATGCTAAATATCTTAGCTCTAGCTCTTTGAGTTCTTTTAAAAGAAGATTTTTTAAGTTTTTACTATATGCACATAGGGAAAATCAATGACCCCCAGGCGGGGCCAATTTTGACCCAAGTTCTTTTATTTGAACAAACTTGGTAGATACCCATTTGAAGATGTTTCATGCTAAATATCTTAGCTCTAGCTCTTTGAGTTCTTTAAAAGAAGATTTTTTAAGTTTTTACTATATGCACATAGGGAAAATCAATGACCCCCAGGGGCGGGGCCAATTTTGACCCTAGGGCTTTCATTTGAACAAACTTGGTAGACACTTACTAGAAGATGTTTCATGCTTTATATCTAAACACTAGCTATCTGGGTTTTTTCAAAGAAGATTTTTTAGTTTTTGCTATACACAGTCATATAAGGAAAATCAATGACCCCCGGGGCGGGCCAATTTTGACCCTAGGGCTTTGATTTGAACAAACTTTGTAGACACTCACTAGAAGATGTTTCATGCTTAATAGCTAAACTCCAGCTATTTGGGTTTTTTTAAAGAAGATTTTTTAAGTTTTTGCTATACACATATAAGGAAAATCAATGACCCCCGGGGCGAGCCAATTTTGACCCCAGGGCTTTTATTTGAACAAACTTGGTAGACACCCATTAGAACATGTTTCATGCTAAATATCTTAGCTCTAGCTCTTTGAGTTCTTTAAAAGAAGATTTTTTAAGTTTTTACTATATGCATATAGAGAAAATCAATGACCCCCTGGGGCGGGGCCAATTTTGACCCTAGGGCTTTGATTTGAACAAACTTGGTAGGCACTCATTAGAAGATGTTTCATGCCAAATATCTAAGCTCTAGCTCTTACGGTTTTTTAGAAGAAGATTTTTTTAAGTTTTTCTTATTGGTTGCCATGGCAACCAGAGTTTTAATGGAATTTAAATTTTTGAACAACTTTGAAAGGGGTCCACCTAAGGATCATTTCTGTAAAGTTTGGTTGCAATTGGCCATGTAGTTTAGGAGGAGATGTTGTTTGAAAAGTTTGACGCCATTTTTTGAAGGACGCACGACGCACGACGCACGACGGACGCAGAGTGATGACAAAAGCTCACCTTTGAGCACTTCGTGCTCAGGTGAGCTAAAAATAAACGCACTTCCATTCTACTAACAACTTTTTGTATGGGTAAGCACTTTGATAGAATGACCAACTTCTGTATGCAGAAAATTTTTTCTACCCTTTCACTCACACTTAACATTTTGTATTGGAAGAAAAATTGAAGTAACAGCAATTCATTCAAAATCAACTTAATATACTATAACCCTTAAACAAGAGGGCCATGATGGCCCTGAAGTCGCTCACCTGTATATAGGCCCCCCGGAGCGGGGCAAGTTTAAACCCCAGGGCTTTTATTTGAATAAACTTGGTAGACACCCATTAGAAGATGTTTCATGCTAAACATCTAAGGTCTAGCTTGTTGGGTTTTTAAAAAAAAGATTTTTTAAGTTTTTTCTTTACACATATACTAGTATTTAAAAACAATGACACTCCTGGGGCAGGGCCAGTTTTGACCCCAGGGCTTTTATTTGAACAATCTTTGTAGACACTTACTAAAAGATGTTTCATGCTTAATATCTAAACTCTAGCTATTCGGGTTATTTCCAAGAATATTTTTAAGTTTTGCTATACACAAATAAGGAAAATCAATGTCCCCCGGGGCGGGGCCAATTTTGACCCCAGGGCTCTTAGTTGAACAAACTTGGTAGACATCCATTAGAACATGTTTCATGCTAAATATCTTAGCTCTAGCTTTTGGGTTCTTTAAAAGAAGATTTTTAAGTTTTTACTATATTCATATAGGGAAAATCAATGACCCCCTGGGGCGGGGCCAATTTTGACCCCAGGGCTCTTATTTGAACAAACTTGGTAGCCATCCATTAGAACATGTTTCATGCTAAATATCTTAGCTCTAGCTCTTTGGGTTCTTTAAAAGAAGATTTTTAAGTTTTTACTATATGCATATAGGAAAAATCAATGACCCCCTGGGGCGGGGCCAATTTTGACCCAAGGGCTTTTATTTGAACAAACTTGGTAGACACCCATTAGAAGATGTTTCATGCTAAATATCTTAGCTCTAGCTCTTTTGGTTCTTTAAAAGAAGATTTTTAAAGTTTTTACTATATACATATAGGGAAAATCAATGACCCCCTGGGGCGGGGCCAATTTTGACCCCAGGGCTTTTATTTGAACAAACTTGGTAGACTGAGGGACGCCGGACGAAAAGCGATCACAAAAGCTCACCCTGTCACAAAGTGACAGGTGAGCTAAAAAGACTTGTCATTCCCTACCATAATAAAGGCAGCGCTACCCAAGTCAACTTTACAGGAACAACATGGATTAGCCAGTTAACTGAACAAGTAGAATTCTTGTCTTGAAAACACTTTCATTTTAGGCACATTTCCAATAAAGTTAATGTCTTTCTATTTGTTTTACAATAACCGAGAATCATGAGAAATTGATACAAATCCGAATTTTGTTAAACTGCGTAAACCTAATATATCAAAATTTTCTATTTGAAGTCAGAACATTATTCAAGAACAGATTCAATAGTTAATTTTTTCCTGACAATTTTTTCTAGAATAAACAAACCTGTAAAAACCGGATAAGATAGGCCAGTACAAGCCGGTTAATTTCTGGAAGCCGGTTCACAACTGCAACGGCAGCCTCAGCATTTGTGTAGTTAACTATACAATCTTCGTAAAAATTGTCAGGAATGAGTGGCGACTCAAGTTCTCGATACCATAATTTAAGTAACGAGGCTGGAATATGAGGATCGTTACAATCCGTCGGAGGCTTCCATTGGTCACAATGTATTTTCAATGCGTTGACTTCGTCTATATCACCGGGAACTCTGTAAAATCGAAAAATTACAATAATATGTTATTTTCTTACAATTCATTGCTAAACAGCTGAAGCCACATGGAAAATACACTGTCTTCCAATTCTTGAGGAAAACCAATTAATATTGAACATATTAATTTTACCATACTTCAGCACTTGGGAAGAATTTGATTTTTTCCGATACAACACAATAGTTTCCATCAACAAATGCATCATTTCAGGTAACAATAGGTTAATTAATGGGGCTATTAATTTACATGGTGGAATTTTACAATATTCTTTGTAGTTGCGTAGGCCAAATTCAAATGGGTTTGCTGTCATGCATCTCCAAAGAAAATTTTATTTGCAGTACATTTGTGTATTTGCTTTGATTGGGATCCTTTTTTTCATCTATCATGCATCAAATTTTCAAAAAAACAAAATCTGCTGAGAGAGAAACCAAAACAACAAGCATTTGATAGTATTGCGGGCAATACAGTAGTCCCCTACCGGTCCCTCAAAAAGTTCTTTAATTGTCATACACTCCTGTGTATTGCCATTTATAATGAATTTGAGGATGAAGTCTGTATTTGAAAATATCAACCACAAAACATAACAAGAGCTGTCGGAAGGACAGCACGCTCGACTATTCTAAGTGCTTGATAGTAAAAGAGCCTTGATAATGTTAAATTTTTTAAGTTCACAAAAGGGCTAATTTTTTTTATAAATTCATGTTATAGGCCTTAGAGAGAGTCTAATTATACAGTATTGGCTTGACTATTCGGAAGGTAATGTCACAAGGGTGTTTTATTGAATATAATAATACTAATTACCTATGAATACATAAATTTGACAGACAAGGTACAAAGGCTTGTTATTAAGATGTTTTATCAAGAAATCACTGCTTTATTATTATGAATGCATAAAATTGTCCCAAAAAAGGCACAAAGTGACAAACCCTTCAGTAGTTATTGAGATAACAGCTTACATACAAAACTTTACCATGAATTTCTAAGTTGAAAAAGGGGAGAAAAATCAGCCTAAATGCAAGATAGAATTATGGATCTTTGTCAGTGACCTACAATTATGACCCTAAATGCATATGTGAAGTTTTAAATAAATATCTTTAATAGTTATTGAGATATGTAAAACTTGCATGTAAACATTAACCATGAGACTAAGTAGAAAAGGGGATATGAATCAGCCTTAATGCAAGATAGAGTTATGGAACTTGGTCAGTGACATACAATTATGACCCTCCAATTATGACCCTAAGTGCATGTGTAAAGTTTCAAGTAAATATCTTTGAATACCTTTAACCTTTAACCAAAATTACTAAGTTTCAAAGGGGCAAATAATTCTGCAAATATTGCAGGCAGAGTTATGCAATTTTGCACACTGATGTACATTGTTACAACAAAAAAGTGTTTTAAATTTCAATTGAATATCTCAAGCAATAATTGAGATATTTGACTTTACAAAAAAACTTTAACAAAAATGTCTAAGTTCCAAAGGAGCATAATTCTGTCAATATTGTAGGCAGAGTTATCCCACTTGTCAATCTGATGTACCTTGTTACTTTAAATAAGTATTGTAAGTTTAAATTGTCATATCTTAAGCAATAATTGAGATATTTGACTTTACAAAAAACTTTAACCAAAATTTCTAAGTTAAAAAGGGGCATAATTCTGTAAATATTGTAGGTAGAGTTATCCCACTTGTCAATCTGATGTACCTTGTTACTATAAATAAGTATTGTAAGTTTAAATTGAATATCTCAAGCAATAATTGAGATATTTGACTTTACAAAAAACTTTAACCAAAATTTCTAAGTTAAAAAGGGGCATAATTCTGTCAATATTGTAGGCAGAGTTATCCAACTTGTCTATCTGATGTACCTTGTTACTATAAATAAGTATTGTAAGTGTCAATTGAATATCTCAAGCAATAATTGAGATATTTGACTTTACAAAAAACTTTAACCAAAATTTCTAAGTTAAAAAGGGGCATAATTCTGTCAATATTGTAGGCAGAGTTATCAAACTTGTCAATCTGATGTACCTTGTTACTATAAATAAGTATTGTAAGTTTCAATTGAATATCTCAAGTAATAATTGAGATATTTGACTTTACAAAAAACTTTAACCAACGCAGACGCCGACGCGGACGCTGACGCCGACGCCGACGCCGGGGCGACTACAATAGCTCTCATATTCTTCGAATAGTCGAGCTAATAAAATAAGTTTGTCTATATCACAGTAATGTGTTAAGTTTCCATGCTTAGTAAGGAAATTATGTTTATACAACCTTGTCATATTATTACGATGTGGGATTTTAAAGTAAATCCTATAAGGAATGAAGAAGTTGGAGTGAAAATACCAGTTTCTCGAAAAAAATCTAAGTTCAAGGGGGACATAATTCTGGAAATAGTCTTGCTAGAGTATTTACCTTCTCAAAAATGTCGAGTGATAATAAGAAACATATATATGAAGTTTGAAGTAGATACATTAGGAAATAAAGAAGTTATTTAAAAAAGACAACATTTTTTCCCCTAAAAAATCTAAGTTCAAGGGAGGTAATACTGATATTTTTTGTGCTAGAGTTATAAACCTTGTCACATATGATGTGGTTGATGACCAGAAACTTATATTTAAAGTTTGAAGTAAACACCTTAAGAAATAAAGAACATATAGTGAAAAAGCTGAAAAATTTAAATCAGAAATCTTGAAATTCAGGCTATTTGTTGCCATAGCAACCAGAATTTTCAACATAGGAAGAAAAGAAAAAGATTTGCATAATCTCCAGACTGCCATCTACCCATATTTCAAGTTTCATAAAAATATTTTCAGTACTTTTTGAGTTATCACTGGATCCAGTTTATGTGTTAAATTTGCCATATTTTCAGACTATTTGTTGCCATAGCAACCAGAATTTTCAACATAGGAAGAAAAAAAAAAGACGTGCATAATCTCCATACTGCCATCTATCCATATATCAAGTTTCATAAAAATATTTTCAGTACTTTTTGCGTTATCGCGGGATCCAGTTTTGTGGACGGACGGACTGACGGACTGACAGACTGACAGACAGACAGACAGACGGACAGACAGACGGACAGACGGACGGAGGGTAAACCTAAAGTCCCCTCCGGTTAAACCGGTAGGGGACTAAAAAGTGTTTAAGTGACCAATAGTCAAGAGAACATTTCACCACTCTTCTTACACAATTTTTACAGTGTTTACTTTTTCTCTCACCTAAAGATTCCTTCAGTTTGGGCACCATTAAGGCGAAGCACCCATTCTGATAATGATGTTTGTATCCATGGTAACCGTCGCTCAGGGTAGTGATCTTTCTGCATCTTCATCACATCCTCCAAAGTGCTCCCAAACATCGAGGGACAGTATATGGATTTCTACAAATAAAGAAAAATTACATATATTTTTGTTTGTTTGTTTGATTTGGTTTTACGTCACACTGACACAGTATAGGTCATATGGCGACGTTCCAGCTTTACTGGTGGAGGAAGACCTCAGGTGCCCTTATGTGCATTATTTCAGGCACAAACGGGCACCTGAGTAGAACCACTGACGTTTCGTAAGCTAGCTTGATAGCTTCCTCACATGACAGAATCCAAAGTCCTTGTAGGCATTCAACCCACAGCTGTGAGGGGCAAAATTACATATATATAATGTACTTTGGAATTATATAATCAATTGTGTAATAACATGAAAATCTGAACAACAGACATACCAGGAGAACTGTCTTAGACTTCAACACATGGTTTTGATCCTCACTGACTTATTACATGTACCAGATTTGCTGCTGTTTTCTTTGTCAAAAGACCTTACATTTTAAAGTTCTGGGTATATACTAGAGTAAAACTCTTAAGGTAAACAAATTGTCATTTCTGTGATAATTTCATGACATATTGCTGATCTTTTATTTAAAATACTGTTATAATTCATACAGTTTAGATCTGAGGATCATACCTTAGCTTGTTCTATTTCATCTATGGAGGGTTTTCTAATCCCTCGTTTGGCCCCAGATTGCATGGTCCTCTCTAATCGTCTTTGACAATGCTCGGCAAAGTGATGAATCGGCACCTGAAACATATAACATATATTATCATCATGTACAATAGCTTACCAACATTTATTCTTGAAATTAGGTGTCTTCCTACCATTACTCACCAACATGCAGATCCAAGTTACAGAAATTACAGCAAAATGTTTATTGTGACCCTTAAACTGATAAATATCTTAAATGGATTTGCCAAACTTTTCTAGCTTCCATTTTTGGAACTGTCCATTATCAGCTTAAAGATGAAAATGAAAAGTTAGTCAGCCAATATATATACAGCCTAGTCAGACTAGCCTGGCTCTATACTAGTGCCAAAGGTATAACATTTTTAGTTCCAGCAGGTTACATATTAAAACATAAATATGTTTGTAAGATGCTGAAATGAAAATTTCAATGTTACAATATGTGTAATAATAAATAGATTGAAATGACTAATGTTTATTGCTAAATTTTTTACATCATGTCTTAAGGTCTTTTCCAACCAATAAAACTGGCAATTCTCCATAATATTATGAAAAAAACTTTGAATTAATCTTATAGTGCCCCATTGTGCATTTTTCAGGAATGAGCAGCTACCAAAGTTGAACAAACAAACTTCTGCAAGAGTGTACATGATATAATAGAATTCTTAACCTGATGCAGTCTGACCAAGCTTTGACACTGAAATCTCTTAATATTTAAATGAACTCTGACAAATTCAATGCAGGTAAAGTCCATTACAAAAATGCAGTAGGTAAAGAATCAGCTTAAATGAAGCTAAAATAATAACAATTGATTTTTAAAAATGTCACTAAAACATTTTCAAACACTAAACATTTTCAATTATTTGATAATAAAATAATAATTAAATAAACTCATCCATTTTGACAATTAATATTACACTCCAATCCTTCCATGTTGTGTAATAATCAAGGTATTAAAAGAATATAAATCAAGTAAATGAAGGGTTATCACAAGAAGATAACTTGACATGAAATATACCAATGCTAGTGACAGATTTTTTCCTCCCAGATCATTTTGATAATGAAACATGCAGGAAGTTGGAAGCATTGTAAGAAAGTTGAAATTGTTAACAAAAGCAAAATGCATGGCAAAAGTAATTGGAAATTATCAAGAAATCGCATAACAAGCACAAAACATTAATTTTATAATTTAAATGGATATTGTCAGATTTCTCACTATTTAAGTAATACGCTTTAATATTAAATATATTCAATAATTAACAGAATGTAATGAAAAATGAAAAACCTAAAGATTGAGCGACCACTGGATTACAAAGTTGATGCTCTCCCTATTGATCTATTATAATAACTGTTATGTTAAATTGTATGTTAGCTAAATAAAATTTTATACTAAGCCTCAACGATTGACTAGCTAAAAACTAATATGTTATACCCAACACCTGCTATTAGCTAGCCATTTGCGGGGAAACAAACCCCCCCCCCTCCCACTCCACAAAAAGAAACAAACTGAAAAACAACAGAAAAACGAAAATAAGATGTGAAAGCAACTAAAGAACTAAGATATAAATACAAAAAGCTATTATAATAATGTTAGTGATAAATGAGCCACGGCACGACAAAACCAACATAATGCGTTTGCGACCAGCATGGATCCAGACCAGCCTGCGCATCCGCGCAGTCTGATCAGGATCCATGCTGTTTGCTTATCAACTCTATTACAAGTAGAGAAACTGATAGCGAACAGCATGGATCCTGATCAGACTATGCGGATGCGCAGGCTGGTCTGGATCCATGCTGGTTGCAAACCCATTATGTTGGTTTTGTCGTGACGCGGCTCAAATGTATTAGTGACCACTATGAACCCAGCATGCTGAATATTGCATGAGTATTCCTTACATGATTATAATGTTCGTCATCAATGATGTCTGTATATCTTATCCCGTGGGTGTTGCACCAGCGGGCGAGGCTAAACTGTTGACAAAATAGGCGATAAAAATAATGATAATAAAACACACAATAAAAGCTAAATAATCTTTGTCGGATACCCACAGCCGAACCATCAACATTTATCAGCCATGGGATTTTTGGCCAATATACAGTCAATAAGAGGTGCCTCAAAGATAGCTACTCACGATTTCATGAGGCAACTAAACCAATCAAAAGACTCGTGCAATATGATGTTCGTTATTACAGACAAAATTGCGACAACCAATTAAATTCAGCTGTGTAAAGTTCAATATTACAAATGGGAATGATTTCAAGAAAAAAAGCATAGAAAATTTACTGTTTCTGATAGTTTTTACCTTCATTGTTGAAGAATATACATTTTGTTAAACGCGATTTCATTGGTAGATCTTTTACGCTCCTGTTGCTGTATATCGACGCAAATCAATTCATTTTACCCACAGTTTGAATGCATGTTAATCAAACGTGGGTATCCGACAATTCTAAATAATGATCTTCATAATATATGATTGAACATAAAAATATAAACATAGGTAATAAAACATTGTCTAAAGCAAACTTTCTAACAAAATATTACAACCAATTTTCATCCACTTGCTGTCATTGTGAAAAATGGTAACGGCAATAATCTAAATTACATTATAATTGCAAAATCAGTGCATTGGAGTATGATGATAACATGGAAAATAATACAGACAATTAACATTTGCTGATGATGATGATGATGATGATGATGGTAAAGAACGGATGATGTAATTTTCAATTACAAAAAAAAAAGAAAAAAAAAAGAAAGAAATGAAGATTAAACTTTAAGTAGGGCCTGAAAATACTTTTTTAAAGAAGAAAATCCAACCCAAATCATTCTAAGCCAACTTTATGCTATAATTGAAGTCAACAGTAAAACAGCTAAGAAAGAAAGCTACAAGTTTATAGAAACATAATTATGCTTAAATCAGCATTTCTGCCAAATATAACAGAAACAACATCAACATTCATACTGTACAAAGTCACTTTGACAGAGATATCAGAAAGGTTACAAACAAACTGACAAAGTCAAAACAAAACACACTTTATATACAAGTACTACAATGTACATTTGTATATGATAAAATATCTAAAAATTAAAAAAATATATATATACCAAAGTTTCATTGATTTATATATAATTATGTTAATATGTATATCCCCTTTCTCACTATTAATATACTCCAAGTCAGTATTCTTTAAGAGCCACAAATCAAAAATGCCTCACAAATAAATCAGACAGAAATTAACTTTAAAATCCTATCCAAAGTGTAAATATAACCTATAAAGAATTAGGAAGATATTTTGTAGATATCTAAATGTAGTAATTGGATGAATTATTCACAATAAAACTCAAATCCTGTATATATGAAACCTTTACATGCACCAATTAATAATGTCAATGGAAAGCATAGTTATAAAAAAAAAAATTAACAAAAGTAAGGAAAACATCCTGGTTTGTGCATCAGTAACTTGACTGACTGATTTCATATTGAAATAAATCTTAAATCTAGAATAATTACTAGACAAGGTTATAATAAAAGAAATTTTCTGAGCTCAAACTCAGATCTCGGATATCTGGTTGGTCAGAAACTGCCATAGAATGTACACTGACCAATGAAAACCCTGAGATTTGAAACAACCAATGAAAACTCTGAGATTTCAGACAGAGCTCAGAAAAAAGTTATATAACCTCTAGGCCAGTTCAGTATCTAAAGATATGCAGAGCAACTTTAATTATTCTTTTTAGGGGCCATACTTTAGAGTAAATAGATTAATAATTACAGACCTAAATCATAATCAGTACATGTATTTGATAATACAAATATTTAGTAAATGTTGGTATACTGATAGAAAAGTTCTGGTTACATAAAAAGAGACTGTGAATCTACTTATATTTTCTAGCTATGTAGGTATATTGTCCATATACATTACTCTATATCATAAAAAAAATATTGATTTCCCATCAGAGCTTCCATTTAAGTCCAAAATTTGGAAGTTATATTAATATACAAAGCATTAAAATTTTGATGCCACAAGCCAACATTAGGGTGTAAGTTTCTCCAAGACTTTCATGAAAGAGTTATTTTCTCCAAGGCTTCCACCAATGGAAGCCCTGTCTGATTATCATATTTTGAAAAAGGCTTTATTTTACCTTTTTTAATTAACTTATATTACGTCTGGAAATAAGTCTTGACACAGAAAAACAAAATACTTAAAAATAACTTAAATTTCAGTCAGACAGGTCAAGCAATTTTTAAACAGACTTTCTCACAGATACACCTTCAAAATACTTACATTTTTAAACAGACTTTATCTTACATTTTAGAAACATAATATATAAAACTTACATTTTCTAGGTCATATTTGGGATCTATATGTCTGGAGATATAACCCTCAAGATAGGAATAGAACTTCTGGGTGGGAGGGAAGAAATTCAGTAGAATAGCCATCAGTTCCCATCCTCTCTGTAAACTGTCCCTGTAATAATATTACATACATTTACATACATTTTCATATATGTATACATTAATATGTATTTTTAAATATTTACATACATTTCCATGTATTTTCAAACAATTATACATTTTACATGTATTTAGAATACTATCAGGCATTTTCATGTATTTTCATAAATTTACATGTATTTTCAAATATTCACATACATTAACATGTATTTTCAAACAATTACATTCATTTACATGCATTTAGAATACTATCAGAATATGTTTTAACAATTCTTTTATTTCTTTTTTGCTGTATTGTTGGGTTTTAAGATCACATTAACTTTATTGTATAACATTATGGTTTCTTTCTTGTGTACATCAACTGCTTTCAAGGTACCAACAGGTACCTGTGTAGAACCATCATTCTTCCACAAGTAAGTTGGATGTGGTTCAAATCCCAGCCTTCTACAAAGCAAGTCAAAATTAATGTGTAGACACCAATACTATACCATGCAATTTTTTTGACAAAATATAATTCGCAAAATCCAATTCCTTTTATTGAGTTTCCAGTTTTTTCTTGGAGAGAAAGATTTCATGCTGTCCTATCAATGTATTTTTATTTATGCAAGATTAGCAAAAAATAGATAAAACCACCAACTTTACATGAACTCACATAATAATTTCTCGAAAGAAAGTCTCCAATATTCCTTATTAAGACTTAAACCAAAAAACATTCAGGGGCAGGTAATCCAAACTCTGTAACCATTACCACTTACAAAATAGTTTCAGAATACAGGAATATACCTCTTTTACAAGTAATACTTACTCTTTCTTATTTTCTGTTGTTTGTCTACATATTTGTATGAAAGTTTCGTCACGAAGGTCAGGACCAACAGACCATCCTTTTATGGTGATGTCGAGAGCCAATTGGGACTGGGTCAACTTGGTCTTCCTATCTCCCATGTATGACTGTATCAGTAATTACAGTTAAGGCAAATTAACAGTAATCATTAATAGTTATCATATATGAAAGTTACCATCACTGAAAGTGACCATTATTACAGTAACACTTAGGATAATAACATTTCAGCATTTACATTATTTTAGGAAGTACACCCATCATAGGCTTACTGAAAATTAGCATACATTTTTATTATCTATTACTACCTTAATGAAAATGAGATGAAATAAAACTTACCATTCTTCAAATAAAGAAATATTTTCACAGAGCCCACCTACTGGCAGAGAAAAAAAATCATTTCACAACTCTATACAGTATTGCTTTACCTCTTAAAGAAATTCTCCATTTTTTTTTAAATGAAAGACTACATTTAACTTTCCAGCATTACTGACAAAAGACCCAAGGTGGTTTTCTGTGCATTTTTTACAGTCACTAGAGAGTACCTGGGTAGAATAATTACCCCCCCCCCCCCCCCCCCCCTGCAATAAGCCAGCTGAATAGCTTCCAAATATGAAAGAATTATTTCATATAACTAGTAAGATGTGAGACTTTAGCAGTTCGTTTGTATGTAACCATAACCATGAGTAAAACAAAGTCCCATTCTTTATTCTATATAATATGAAAGTATTGTATAATTTGAAAGAAAATCAATAAATATTTGCAAATTTAAAAAAAAGGATATGTTTAAACACTTCCACAGCCTCTTTCTTTACATTCTTGTCTGTTGTTCTCAACATTGGTTTGGTTATAGGATCCTGAAAATTATAAAGAAAACAAGAAATGTATTATACAATCTATCAATTAATAACTTCAATCTATCAATTAATAAATTTATTCAACAATGCAAAGTTCTATATAATAGCCCACGGATAATAAATGATTTCTACAAAGATAACTAGTCTGTCTTTTAATTCATGTTATGAGTAAAACAAGAATGGAATACACAAAGCCTTTACATTTTTTTTGTAAGGGTCTTGTACTGCATTGCATTTGGGATAGTCCCTGCATTAACAGAACTGGAAGTGATTAACCTTTGCCACTGATATGAGCCCGAGCCAACCTGCATATCTGTGCAGTATGACCAGTATGATACTGTGAGTAGCTCAATTTTTGTAATTTTGATATTGTTACTTTCTTAAACATTGAATGGACTGTTCAAAATTCAAACCTTGGCAAATCCATTACACAAATTCAGCAGATAAACAGTTCATGTGACTTTGATATCATACTGCAAATATTAAGCTGCCATGAGTCTGAAATATGGTGAGGCTTTATGATGCAGACTGGCCTATATATTGGTGGCATACAGGACTTGTATACAAAGTGTTAATCAAATAATACTCTAGCTTTATGAAATATTATGCAAGTATATGATCAGGAGTTAACAGTTTAAAGAGTAAACAGTATGTAAGTTGTATCAATAATATTGGCTAATATAAGTTTCTTTTTTATTTCAGATGCAGATAAAACATTTTTTTGGGTCACTTTTTTAAGTCAAACCAGCTGTGTTAAAGTCATATGGCACATCACCAGGCAGTTCTCGTGGATGAAGACTACAGGTGACTCACTGTGTATTATTTCAGGTGTGACCAGGGACCTGAGTTAAAGCATTAATGTTACCTAAGCTAGTTAAACAGCTTCATCACATGACAGAATTTGAAGTTGTGACCCACAGCACTGACTAAAAATCAATCATTTTTAACCACTCCGTACAAAATATGAAAAATCATCATACCTTTGACCATTTCAGCATGTTGGTAAGTGGGACATTCTTGCCAAACAGACCTTTCTTATGTTTATTAAGATGTTGTTGAGCGTAGTTCTCTATATCACTGTCTGATGGCAGTTTTTGTTTAGGAGACAGATGTTTACTATGGCTTATTGGTGGACAGGTGCCTGCTCGACCCTGAAAATTTATAAACAAGTTACATGTACTGGTAATGTAATTCACTTGAAAAAAATAAGATAAAATATGCTTCTGTTTCACACATAGCCCTCAATATACAACAATAACTTACTAAGATAAATTGATTAAAACACTGTAGCTGAGAATGACAATGTAACACAATGTGTGCAAATGGAACATGACCTCCGTAAGGAAGAATATTCTTATGCAAATATACATACTAAATAATAAACAAGAGCGATCAGTAATCACATGTGTCGCCTCATGATGGCCAATTTCATGTTGGGACAAATTTTGTGACAGACAGACAGACAGACCCACAGTGCACAACTAGACCTGGTACTGATCATTCCTGTAAAGTTTGGATAAAATTGCACCAGTAGTTTATGAGGAGTAGTCCGGACAAGCTTTTGTGTATCTGGCAACACACAGAAAAAGAAACCTTTTTATTAAAGGGCCATAACTCGGCCAAAAATCATTCAACCGGAAAACCCGTGCAATATGCGCAAGGACTTGAGCTACAGATCAATCCTGTAAAGTTTCATTGAAATTGCATTAGTGGTATAAGAGAAGTAGTCCAGACAAACTTTAAAATTAAAAATTTTTAAAGGGCCATAACTTTGACAAAAATCATTGAACCGGAAAATGCTGACAATATGCACAACTAGACTTGGTACTGATCATTCCTGTAAAGTTTGGATGAAATTGCACCAGTAGTTTATGAGGAGTAGTCCGGACAAGTTTTGTGACGGACGGACGGACAGACAGACAGACGGACGACGGAGAAGTGATCCCTATATGTCGCCACTACTCCGTATATGTAAAATTAGCACATAGGTTTTCAAGGACAACAAAACTAAAGAAAATCATTGTATTAAAAGAATTACATCATATATCAAAATATTTATCATTAAATTTCTATGGCACCATACTATTAGGTTCATTTGAATTTATATGTACATTTAACAAATTTTCTACATTTAACATTTTTACAAAATGATTACATAAATCTGGCATCTTTTGTTAGTGAGCATGACCTTTACACTTCAGAATTGCTGATAAAATCTTAAAATATATGGCAATACTTCAACACATAAAAGGATAAATTCAATGCAGTGATTTATTCTTCCTGTCATTTTAAATTTATTGCAATGTTTGAACCTACCTGTCTACTTAAAGATCCTATACTAGATGAGACAGGCATATTGGCATCAGCTTGGCTGGGCACCACCATGGACAAAGGTCTGTGAGTCAAGTCCAACTGTGCTGAGTGGCGCTCGGATCCAGGACTCCCATCGACAGCCTCACCACTTTTCTCGTGCTTCTTACGTTTTAAGGAAGCGTGTTGTGTTTCTAAAGCAAGGCCTGCTGGGATACCACCCATAAACGGGGAGCTTTGAAATACGTTCGCATTTTCTGTGTCCTCAAATCCTTGATCTACGAGGAAATCAAATATATTCAGTAATCAAATTTCAATCTGGAAAGAAACCTTTTATACAATAATTCTTAACAAATTTTTGGAAGGGTACCAACAGTTCATACCAAGCCTATATAATGAAGTTAGAATAAGTATATTTTTGGAAGTACATGTATTTGCATAGAAGAACTTAACTTTTGTCTTTAAACATTTTTAAAAAAAAAGTTTGTAACTGTTTAAAACAACAGCAACAACAACATAATTATGAAAGCCCTCTGAATATAGTTGGGTCAAAGGTGATATAAGAGCATTGCTACCTTATTATTATATTCTACTTTATGACACTTGACTAAATTACGTCCACTTTTCTCGTTACACAAAATATATAAAAATATAATTTGTGTGAAAGTTGACCTTGGCAGGAATATGAACTTTTGGCTATTTCATTTATATTAAATAAAACTATCTCTTTATATTGTTTTTTTTTCTCTCTGTAACTAATACTCTCAAAGAATATGACCATTGCGTTCAAAGTCAAACTTAAAATTCATAGTGTTAATCATGTGATTATATGTGATTATATCTGGGCAAGTTAATAATATGATTATATGTGATTATATCTGGGCATTTCTGGTTAATATCCCATCATGTAATGACTGCCAAAGAGGCAATTTATCATGTGCCAACAACTTTTAACCTTGAAATCTTTTATAGATAAGTTTATATAAAAATCCAGTAGTTTTTTTTCTTTTGAACAGACCAGTCAGTTTATTATAAGAATAATATACTTAGATTAAGCATGTTCATCAATAATTTTTCCGGACCACGATAAAGACTGACAATGTATATTTCCAAGTCCTATATTAATCTTGTTTAACATTTATATTCTATTACATATAACATTCTGTTGTCGAGCAAGTAAGACCTCATTGTCATTATTATGAAATATTTGAATTAATCATCACATGACAGTAAACAATTAATCATTTTTTATATACAAGACTCTTCAACAATAAAACAAGAAAATATGTATAGTAAGCAAATATGTCCTTGAAAGCAGACCTTTGAAATCATGGTCATTCAGCAGCTGTTTTAATTAACTACACACTGAAAATGATGATTCAGTTTCATGACAAAGCGACATTAAATTTTGTGAAAAGTGGGAAATATTAACTTTGCAGAAAAAGAGAACCTAATCTCTAAAAGATTTTTATATATTACCTTCAGAGAACTGAGAACTTTGCATCAGATCTATCATATGATCATCACCATCTTCATCATCCTCATCTTCTTCGTGAACAGCTGTTCCATTCAACTCCCTCGTTAACTCAAGCGTAACAGATCCATCTGTATTTCTTAAGTCATCATTAAACTCACTTATCTCTATATTAGAGTTTCTTTCTTTAAGCACATTTTTTAAGTTATTTTCATCATTGAGGTGAAATTTTGGAATTTGAGCTAATTCAGTCACTTTGGTAATTGTAATTTCTTCTATTTTCATTGGTGGAGAATCATTTGGTAAATTTGCATATTCTGGTTCAGAATCATCATCATCTTCAACTTCTTTTGACGTGTTTTGTAAATACTGGTTATTTGTTACATGTGAAAACTGATTGTCACTAGTCCGATCCTTAAAATCACGATCAGGGTAACTTTTGTTCGAGCCACGAGAAGAAATAGAATCTTGAAAAGACACTGCACTATCTTGCATGTTACGTAGAGAACCTTCTGACTGAACATCAGACATATTTCTAATAGAACCCTGGGATGATTGAGAATCTGACAATTCCCGACTGCGTAATGTATGCGAAACTTGACTGTCTTTTCGTTCTGGTCCCATTCGTCCTGACGAATAGGAACCATCACTATCTGAGCGTTCATGTCGATAATGGTTTGTTTCAAAATATTCAGGATGAATTTGTGACGTTTGCATCCCGGCACCGTCAACTTGACCTTCCGTAGCACCAGATTCCAACAATGCCTGCTCAACATTTATTTTCTTATATGCTGTATTTCCATCACGTCTATTTACACCAATGTAAGTTGGATTAGTTCGGGGAAATCGTAATTTTGGTTTACTGGGAGAAGGACTAACATGTCCACCTTGCTGTTGACACAATATATCTTGGCTAAATGCCAAACACTCGTCCCTTGACCCTGATTGAGGAATAACCGGACTATACATTCTATCTGTCTGCTGCAACTCCCTTGTAGGGGTTGGAGTGCCTGTATTCACTGGGCTAAATTGAGAAGTTCTTTCAACTTCCTGTCGGGACATATTTAACACTGGACTATATAAATTATCCTGTCTATAACTTGATGAGGAATTAGATGATTGAACAGTAACAGGGCTATATAAATGTTCATGGTCATGTACTGAACCTTCTCTTGAATGAATAGAGTCATGGAAAGACCCCTCACGTGAATGTAACGGAGGAGGCGTAAATGAATCATGTCTATTTGGTGGAGTGTAAGTTTCTGATCGACTACTAGCATACATATATTCTTTATCACTACCACTACCTCTATGATATGCACCTCGTGAAAATCCATGCCCATGACCTTGATATAAATATGAATCATCCCTTGCGTAATGGGGCGATTCATCCCTCATACGACTCTCGGGATATCTGTAACTGCTAGATCTTGCCGGAAGTCCTCCACTGTGTGTGCTCTCACTACGGTGCACTGCTGAATGTGTTCTTTGTAACCGAGGGGAGTCAACCCCTCTTGGCAACATTTCGTAGGACTCTCTACGCCCAATGCCCGATTGAAAAGAAGGACTTGATGAATAGCCTGCCTGATTTGATGAATGGGAAGAGTGTGAACCCGAGTGTGAGCCACGCCTCCTAATCTGCTCCGCACTGACTCGCTCCCCAGTTGCTCTGTCCTTAAAGCTGTCATAGTGGCCAGAGCTACTTAATGAAGAGCTAGAATCTTGTCGGCTGTACCGATGCTGAAACCAATAAATTAATATTTATATCATATTTCAAAACAGGCTGAAACATTTGCCATTTCCAAAGATGAAAATTCTAAAAAATATTGTATTTTATCACAGTCACGTTTTTACACTTTTATGCAGTACTTATGATACAAATGAAAAGGAAGTTTACCATGACTACTTAGCTTATATATTATACTCTTGATTTATTATATTAGAAACTGGGTGTTACCTTGCGTCCTGGGTGTGGACTTGTGATTGGTTGACTGGATGACGTTTCTTTCAGGGAACCAGTCCGTACATGGTGCTCTCTTCTCTGGAGAAAATAAAAGATCACAATGTAAACCACAGAAAACAGAGTCAAAAATATGAAAAGGACTGCTTCCAAAATTTGGTGACTGGTTACAAAATCTTCCATCATGTGTAAAACCAGTCTGGACACAAGCTCCATTTTGACAAAAGAATCATGGGTAAAAATGTCCGTCTGCTGCAAGTTTAAATTTTTTTGTCAAGTTTTTGCCTAGTTATTCATCATGACTCTGCATATTTGTTTGATTTAATCACAAATTAATAGCACATCATTTCATCTTCCGTATTGTTTTATTTTGCAATCATTCTTCAAGGAACGCAAAATAAATTCCATCTACACTAGGAAAAATGTTAATGATCAGAACATGTTCTTTGAAGAGAGAATATTCTTATCTCAAATCTAAGATATTCTACCATTATAAAACACCCACATCTTTTCCAATTACGTAAGCTTGAATATATAACAGGTTGCAATATAATTCTCGCATCTCCATCAATAATGTTTCAAAAAAAGAGTTCTTTGAACCTTTTTGTTATTGATGAAAACCAAACGAAAAACTGTAAACACTTGAATGGCACTATTCCAATATATGAAATTCTTAAACATTCAAAAATAGCCAACAAAATCCACTTTTTTCTTCAAAGAAACAAATTATTCCAACAATGTTTAATTGTTTTAAAAATTCCAATTTTATATATTCATGTTTTTTTTCCCTGTCTTATTATTCTTCACTGATTCTAAGCATATTTTTTTCCTACCCCAACATGAAATATTAGTATGAAGACAGATGAGTAACAGGCACTTATATTCTGAGCAGAATTTCTTATAATGTCTTTGCTATAAGAATAACAAGGTGAAATATTTGGCATAGGTAAATAAATCCAAGTACCACCACTTGCTATGGAATCATTTCATACACAACGCCACAACAATCAAAACCTGGTATTCACTTTTAAAACACTCAGGCATGTAGGTATTTTCTGAGAATATATATCTGTAAATTATTTATAAAATTCTGAGTACGTCCATTCACATGATTAAACATAAATAAGTTCAGCTTTTTATGATTTCCCGTTCCATGAACACGTCAACAATTAAAGCACGAAAACGATACTATAAAAAAATATTTCCCTAATGTCGTGTTCATGTAATATAACAAAGTCACTGTCGTAATTTTTATGCGTGACTTTTAATGTAGCAGTTCTGTAATAAACTTCCAGTAATTAACAAACACTGTGTGTTGGATTTTAATCAATATATCAACTTATTATATTAGTACAAAAGATCTACACTATCAAATTGTCTTAACACAAGCTTTACTTCCCCTAATGTTACAATTGTTTCCTGTTTCAAAGTTAAGCACTATACAGATAATGTATTTGCGTCATAGTCAAAAACAAAACAAGTAATAAGTTATTTAACATAAACATTATCAAATTTCAACGTTTCACTGTATTAAACAATTTTTTCTTTCCGCTTTTAGTTTCACAATTTTTTTGGGGTTAAAAATCAATTTTTCAATTTCAACCATGAAATATGAATATCCCCTTTTCAATTTATGCTCCTTCAAGGATTCTCTAGAAGAAAATCGTGTTTACATATCAAACAATCATTACCAATTAAGTTCTTTCACTATCACAGAATTTTATTCTTTTTTATTTGATAAACATTGAAAAAAATGAATGTATTCCAACTGCAGCATTATAAGAGATTCCATTGAGAGACATGTTATATATTGTATCAGGATATGATTTGTTCACACATACACCATGTAAACATCATGTAGTAATAAATAATACTATACATCTATTGTAAGAAGGAAGATATCCACTAATGAGGCCAACCATATTGTTATTTACGTCCCATCGTGACATCACCTTAGTGCAGTAACTGGTTAACTCTTTTAAAATTTCAAAAGGAGTTAACCTGTTACTGCACTAAGGTGACAATATTATGATTTTCTACAAAAACTTCTACATGTAGACTATTTGGAAGAAATTAAGAACAGATTTACATTATCTGGTCAGTCCGCAAAACCAAAGTATATAATAACCTTGGCCTAGATCATGTTTGGACTTTTGGGAATGCCAGTATTGGACATAAACAGTATCTTTCATTAATTACTAGAAAACACCTAATTATCTGCAGCATTTATATAATGATGATTATTAGTGTTGTATATATTGACCAGTTCTTAGAACAGCTGTTACTCTACATTATGTATTAATATTCTATAATAAAACAAACCATTCCATTTAGGCCATTATTAACACTGGCAACATTAACAATAAGTTATTGTCCCTATCCATCACTGTATATAATATAGATTACAGCTGGGTGCACTGGTTAAGACCTTGACCTTAGTTTTCATAGTCACTATTGGCTGTGGCTATAATATTTAATTTTAAAACTTATTTTATTAAAGCATTTTTGACCTTTGTTTCCAGAAAACCAATTAAAATTATTTTAATTGGTTTTCCACAAGCAAAAATTCATTATACTTAAATAAAATTACTTCCATTTCTAACGAAGAACATTACCATTTAACATATACAATGGTATAAATACAGACCCAAATTTTTTGGAAAAAAAAATTGATGATGAATAAAGACTTATATGTGCAACTTTCGTGAAAATACGCTAACTTTTCAGGACTTCTTGACAACAACAGAATCATGAAAACATATTGTATAATCATCAGAAATATTTTAACATAAACATACTGAAATACACTTCCTGATTAATTAAAAAGTTAATTCCTTACTTCAAAGGTGATTAGGCAATTTAAGGCATAATCTGTACTGACTCATCTGTTACTATACTTAAATAAAATTCACAACTCAAATATCTTCATTTGATTCTCAAGTGGGTCAACAAAACAATTTACTTATGAACGCCCTTAGCAGAAAACTGTTCACCAACAAGAATATTTCTGTCGATGGAAACAGCACAATTTCAAAACATTACATTTTTCTAACATGTTGGATTATTATTTAAGTATCTACAGTGGGCTAGAATTGACTACAATTTTCTCAAACATTGTTACATAAAGGCAGACTGGTTGTGTCATATTGGTTAGTTTGAATACCAGTCTAGAAATGAAGCAATGTCATTGGTCATTTCATAACAATTTGCATGGAAATGACCAATCATAATCTCTGTAACTATTTGTCGTACCTGCTACTAATGAATAGTTAAGTATAATTTTGTTACGTCACTTATCACTTTAAAAAGGGGATTGGCACATATAAAATTCCAGCATTTATTGTTTATAGTACACATACTTGGACAAAATAATTTCTTGTCTAGACAGGACATAGCTGCATTTTTCCTTTAAAGTGGTAATGATCGTGCAAAAGAACTGCTAAAAAAACACACAAAAACCCAAAACGTAAGCACACAAGAAAATCACCATATAAGGGTAAAATTACATATTGATTCAACTTTGCACTTTAGTCCAATAGACACTGGTCTCCCTTTTTTAATGACTCCATTAATACAGGGCACTTATTTAAGAATTACACCCCTTCTTCTATGTACCAACCATGACCAATATAACATAATATAAAAGATGCCTTTAGCCATAGGCAAGCTTAATTGAATCCCTGGAGAAATTTTAATTCATTTTGCACCAATTTAAACCAATCAGAAAATCTAGTGTCCTGTATAAATTTGCATCACTGTTAAATAATCCAGTAGCTTTCGCCCTTGAGCTATGAGCAGTAAATATTTTCCTGCATTGACCTTTGGCCTGTAAGTGCAGCAAGTTGTCTGATGTGGAGATAGGTATGTTAATTACAGAATAATGGTTCTAAATTTCCTGGGTGTAATCATGTTCATTATGCACATTATTGTATTATCAGAGTAATACATCTTTGCCACACTTTGGCAATGTTAAAATACAGACAACTACTGTACATCAATAGGATACTACTGTACTGTTAGATCATTTGATTTTCAACTTTTTTTTATATTCAAAGCTGTAAGGTTCAAGCCAAACACTCTTTGAATAGTTTCTGGAACCAACCTGTACTTAGAGAAATGAGTCTTAAGTTTTTTGCTCAATGCAACAGCAGCTTGTCCCTTGCCCACCTAAGGCCCACCCACCCGTGCACTTACCCTGCCACAACCAGCAATCCTTAGATTATTGTTCTGACATGTTTAAACCCTCAGCAAAGTCACCACTATTTTTATACTGTATGCATAATTAAAGTGTAAAAGGGCAAAACATATTTGTTTTTTTTTTGAATGGCCATGTTAAGTGTATGAGGAATTCTTATATGTAAGACAGCCATGTATTGAGTCAAATCTGACATTACAAATGTGTAGGCCAGACTAGTCTTGTTCTATACTGGAGTCAAAGGCAAGCTAGTATTTCTTATTTTCTTCACAAAATGAATATTTTACATTATAATTATTTATTGTCAACATTTTAATTTTCCATGTAATAAAGCCATTTCAGGTCATACCATTTCCCACATAGATTCAGGAAGTCATCTTGAAACTCTTCTATAAAGGAAATACTAATGTTAAGGATATGATTCAGGAAATATGCATACTAAAATTTAACGAACTTTTAGCAATAATAATTCAAAAGATATGAATTAATATTAAAATTCCCATTAATTAATCCCCTCCTCTCAATTCAAATTATATGATAAAGAAGATGTAAAGACATACATGTATATTATATTAACTCAGGAGCATAATTATATTAACTTAAAGGCATGTATATTAACAGAGGAGCATATAGTAACTTAAAGGCATATATATTAACAGAAGTGCATATAGTAACATAAAGGCATAATATATTAACTCAGGAGCATATAGTAACATAAATGCATATAGAGCATATATTAACTTAAAGGCATAATTATATATTAACAGAGGAGCATACATTAACTTAAAGGCATATATATTATTAACAGAGGAGAATCACAGGCACGAGTATCGGACCTGGGAAGAAAAAATATGACCAGATTGATAAAAAAAACCTGTGTTCATCT